CCAGTGAGGGGAAGACTCAGTAGCTAATACTACACTGAAGGCTGTGGCGTATCACACACTACAACACTTCCTTTGCCTGATAAAGGCTGTAAATGAAGTGTACTGTAGAAAGCTTCTCCATTGCTCTTGTGTTACAGACATGGCTCTTTTTAGCATGTGGTATTATAAGCAAATCACTGTGTGGAGAAGTGACAAAGGGGAATTGTGGAAAGTTGAGGAGCCCTGAGCACTGGTCCCCCCAGCTTCTTCCTTTGCCACTTTGCTGTTGAGATGAGGGGGAAAATATGAGAGGGTTTTTTAATGAAATTCTCATTTCTTTTTGGTCACATGAGACCAGGGTCTGATTCCAGTACAAGAGTCTAAAGGGCCACCCAGGCCCTCCTGACCGTGAAAGTCACTCACCATCCTGCCACAAAGGAGTGAACAATCCCAAGCGCAGACCTGAATTCTCCTCCCCAGGCTTGGTTAATGCTTCCCCCAGTGTGATACAGGTTGAATTCTGCCTCAGTAAGGAGGTGAATGCTGTAGCAGAAGAATATTATTGTTCAAGGCTCCTGCTAATCATTATATGTCTGGAATTAGAAATAAATACACCCTCTACACATTACAGCGTGGTGTCTTGTCTTGAAAAAAATCCTTGTTCTACATACAGTCTGCTGTCTGTCTGCTTTAATCCCACAACTGTGGACTGTGTTCCTCTTTGCTCTTTTTTACATGTTTCTTAGCAAACTTTCTCAGAGCAGATGAAGAAGATCTCATCCATGACACATGACATACTATTAATTTTCTCTACTTCCTTTGGTGCTTTCTCTCCTGACACTGCTGGAAGCAATTTTATTCAATGAAAGCTGAAATTCTGGAGCAGAAATCTGTGGTGAGGTACGAGTGCTTCTTCCAGACTTGCACTCATTGCTAGCAATGTTTTAAGCACTAATGCTGAGGCTGGATTGAATTTGGACTGATAAGAAAATGTTCTTTGCTCTATGTTCAATCCTTGCCCCTTCCTGAAATTAATGAAAATATCTGAGACAATCGATGAAAAGTTGACAGGCTGTTCAGAGTGAGATAAGGAATATGAGGCAGAGGGGAAGTTAGGTGAGTACAGAAAAGACAGAAATAATCCTGCTATTAAACACATACAAACAATAAAGTGTAGAATGAGAAAGGGGAGGGCATGGCAGCAGCTGCTGGAAAACTAAAGCAGTTGAGGCAAGAAATAGCAGTGGACATCCTGCATCCCCAAATCTGTGAAAATGTCAGAGTCATTATGAAATCCCAGACAGCATCAGAAAACGTTACACCCAACTGTACAGGAAACTGGTCAACAACCGAGAAGATGCTTTGCATCAAAGGATACGCAAGGTTTTCCTCTGTCTTTATTACATACTGTAAGTAATCTCTTCATTTATCTGATAGGAGAAGCACTCCAGTGCTAGGCAGAGCCTATTACTGCTGTCTGTGTTCTCTGACATCCCAAAAATTTATTCTTACCCTACCCAGTCAGATATGTTGCAAGTACCTTTGAGCTAGAGCTGCAACATTGAGCCCCGGGCACTTCCAAGTTCCTGACTTTTTATCAGGGTGGAACCTGTACATGCACCAGCTTTCTCCTGTGCTCTGCTTTCCACAAAAAGTAAACCTGGGGGAGTGGGTGAGGCGGGAGCCTTGATATGCTCCGAACAGGTTGCCAATCTGAAAAGCCCAGGGAATGCAGCCCCAGGGATTGCCATGGCCCTCTGCCACCCCAGTCAGGTAAGGCTGACACATCCCTAGATCCTCGCTTTGTTAAACACTGAATGATTGTGTCCTGGGCTAACAAATCAATTCTACCTTCTGCAAGCACAGAGGGAGTTTATTATAAAATTGTTGTGGGTAGCACTGAACTGTCACGGTCCTTAAAGAAAAATGAATTGCTAAATATTGAGAGACAAATGACAGCACTGACTCTGGTTCCATACTAACCTATATCATCAGAGTGATCCAAGAGGACCCCTATTTGAACAGATGCCAATTCCACGACCAAAGCATGCATTGTACTCCCTGTAAAACACAGTTGTCTAGTGGGCTCTCAGCTTTTGCACTTCCCCTCCTCCCTTGATGCTTTCCTCTCCCCATCCCACCCCCAAACTGTTCTCTTCTTTTTTGCAAAGATAGGAAAAGTGAACATACATGTCCAGTTAACAAGGAGGGGAGACCAGTGCCAAGGTTGAAAGTGTGCAAGTGTTCTGGTTACTGCTAAAGAAAGGCACCTTCTAAAAAATGTAGAAAATATTAGGTATTATTATTGAGGCATATTTCAGGAAGTATATTTAGAAAAAAAATATTTGACTGCAACACAGTTGATATCAGCACTATGAAAATAACTGGTAACATTAGAAAGCACACCCCCACCCCAACCCTTGAAACATTCAAAGTTTCTAAGTCATTATCTAAGAAATCTGAAAGAAAAAATAATGGGGGAGTTTGGGCTAAACTCCATGAACAAAGGGGACTGACATCTGGATTACATTATCAATCAAAATTAGGCAAAAGGTTTAAAAGAATTTCCAAAATATGACAGATGCGCAGAATATCACGTCAAATCACAAGAGAAGACATGAGCTAACCCAAAAATGCTTACACAGAGGCTTTCAGCATTCCTTAAATTCTGGCTTAACGTAACCGAAGTTTATAACTGGTCTTCCACGAATTTGCTGGTGTTGGAAACTGCATGTTGAGAGAGAAAAAGTTCAATCTAAGTGCATGGCTCGATGCTCACAGGCACTTTTTTGCTTTGCTCGGGGGAAGGCGGCGATGTTTGAAATGATACAGATTGCACACAGGCAGCTCCGGCAAGAGGCACAGGGCTGGGGGCTGGAGCCGATCCAGGAGCAGTTGGTTTACAGTTTGCAGACAGGCGCCAAAATTCAAAAAATGCACTGTACTTCAAATCCAGAGACGCGGATGAAAACAATGAGGAAGGAGGCGGCCCCAAAGGCTCCTGGGCTGTCCTCGGTGTAGCTCCCTGCCCGGAGCAGGCTAATGGAGCAGGATCTGACCGCCCTGCTGAGGAAAGAGGCCACAGCACTCTGGGATTTGTAGTCTCTTCTTTCTGCTTCCTTTTCCAGAAAATTCAAGTCAAAACCAACTTGGATTCAGTCAGAACGCTGAGTTTCACAGTGAGTTGTATAACATATTATCAGATCTCACTGATAAAGATCTGGTAACTGTGACCTTCAAATATGGAGGTTGCGTAAATGCCTACAGAAAGGGCACATGCGGTGATCTATAGGCTTACTTTCATTTTAGCTATCACCCGTAAACTCCCTCCCAGTAACCCACTGATACCCCCAGCTTTGCAGACTCCATGTGGAAATCCCTGTGCTCAGCTCTCTGTAGGAGATAGAGGTGAAGGAGCCATCAATACTGTCCTAGGAGAGATGATGCCCAAGCCAGCTGGGATGAGCACTCTGTTAAGCCAGGACAACTCTTTTCATGTTGGATGCATATTTTGAAACAAATGCATTCAGGTGAAAACCTACTAGTTACATGGGTCAGCTGCTAAAGATATGCAATGTTGCAAGAGGGACTTAGAGCTCTTTGGCATCAAGGGTATTGAGCATCCAGAATTCCTGGATTTATTCTGAGTTTTTCCAGTTTGAGGTGTACTTGATATTAGAATCCGAGATCCCCTAACATGAGGATCGTCTAGGTTGTGTTTTGAGGATAAAACCATCTGCACCTATTTGTTCAGCCTGGCTCCGTAAGTTTCTTTTCATGTATCGCGTGCAGTATTTTCTTGCTCTCTTTCCTGTTTCTCTATCTAGATCTGTCCTTCTTCTCATGCAGAGCCCTTCTTTGCATTATGCTCATGCTGTTTTTTTTCTTTGCTGCCCATGTATATGGACAACAGATTTTTAATCTGTTTTTTCTACTTCTCAGGCAGAAAATCTCACTTTTCTCAGCCTTCCCTGGTAGCCGAAAGGCACAATGGCAGTTAAGAGCTTTTCAGCCTCCAAAGTTTTGGGACATGAGGAATTAGCTCATGGGAATGGTAATCCACTTTATACTGGTTAATGCACAAGAACTGACAGAAGTTGGGGCATATTCAGTAAAAATATGTTTTGGGAAAAATAATAATCCCAACCTTTAGGAAGGGACAACTTCTCAGGGGATTTTAGTTTGTACAAAACCTGGCTGCATTCTCTGGGACTGCAAAAGGATTTCGGGATAGGTTCCTTCTCAAATGGCCTGATCGGAGACTGGGAGGCATTGCAACCTCGCAGTAAAACTTTAAAATTTCTAAAATCTACAAAACAGCACTCCTAAAAATTCACCCTTGGAAATAGCTGATTGGTATTTTTTCTGAGACTCTCCACCCCCAACTTCAGCAAAGAGCGGGTCCCTGGCCTATAAAACTTCAGCGCTAACAGCAAAGCATGGCAAATTTGTAAACAGCTCAAAACAGGGTTATGTAACAATGCCTTAGATAACTAGCGTGGAAATATATCTGGTAAGTGAAATACGACACAGGTTTCAATACAATTGTGGCAAATGAGCAGCACAGCATCGCTTCTGATCGGCGGGATGGCGGTCGATGTTTCAGGTGGGTTTGGTGAGCGCGGGGCGCGATGGACAGAAGGCCCCGGGGGGTCCTGGCAGGTTTGGGGTGCGTGCTGTGGAGGGGGGACCCGTGGGGTGACTGACCCGCACCCACCAACACCCGAACGGCTGCTGGGGCTGCGAGCAGGAGCGGGAGCAGCTGCTGACAGCTGAGGAGCATGTGAGGAATGATCCTGGTCAGTAGCTCTGGTCCCTCCAGGTTTTATTGAAAAAGAAATAAAAAATCTTGTCTTCAGGACTGGCCCCTCGCTCCCTGCGCTATTCTCGCTCTCACGGCCGCCTAATTTTGTCTTTTAATACGCGGCACAAGCTACGCTTCTGGTCGAAGAGCAGGCTCGGGCTCGCCGCGCGTCCCGCAACGCACAAAATGGAGGGCGGCCCGGACTGCACCTCCCAGCGCGCCCTGCGGCGCGGCGCCGAGACTTCATTTCCCAGGCGGCGCGGCGGCGGGGGAGGCGATGTCCGCCATCTTACCGCTCCCTCCTCCCCCGGTGCGGCTGGATTGAATGAGCCCGCTGCCCGCCTGCCCGCGAATTGAGCGCCATGTCAGGCACCCCGAGCCGCGGCACCCCCGGCGGGACCCCGCTGTCGCCGACTCGCATCTCCCGCCTGCAGGAGAAGGAGGAGCTGCGGCAGCTCAATGACCGCCTGGCGATTTATATCGACCGTGTGCGGGCGCTGGAGCTGGAGAATGACCGGCTGCTGCTGAAGATCTCCGAGAAAGAGGAGGTCACCACCCGGGAGGTACGGCCCGAGGCGGCCTGCTGGCCTTCGCCCGCGGCTCTGGGGCGGGAGGGCGAGCGGCGGCGGCCCGTTGGAGGCGTTTGCGCCGCTCCGTCCCGGGCCGAAGGTCCGCGGCCCAGGGG